TTCCAGTTACCTCCAATTACCTTAAGCATAGTTGATCAGCCAGGGTATGTTTGGTGTCCAAAGTTTGCTTCTTTAGTTTTGCATAGGAGCTATGAAGCTATTGCAGTTAACAAGTCATGGACACTTATAGCCACAGACTGGCATCTCAAATAGAGTTGTTAAGGAATCTTAAACAGACTTGCCACTTGGTTTCTGACACTGTATGACATACTGTTATCTATGTAAATGGCCAAGTTAAAGAGTGGTTCTCCAACCAGTCCTCATTGTCCCCCAGCCCCCATTTTCACTTGTCCTGGCTCCCTGAGGACTAGTTTGAGAACCACTGAGGTAAATAATATCAGCAGTCATTTGAGGAGGCTTTCCTAGTTACAATCCTGTGTGACTGTCATATTCTGATCCTTCTTTCTGTGTCCACTCCAGGTTTTCCCGCTCAGATGAGCTGTCCCGTCACCGGCGGTCCCATTCTGGTGTCAAGCCTTACCAGTGTCCTGTGTGTGAGAAAAAGTTCGCCCGCAGTGACCACCTGTCAAAGCACATCAAAGTCCATCGCTTTCCCCGAAGCAGCCGGACAGTCCGTCCCACTGCCTGATGAGCCGGTCCTAATTAAGACTCACCTATGGACAAAATGGAAGACTGGAAGACACAACTCTGTGTGTGTGCGTTATGTTTTTGTGAAAGTGTACACACAACTCAACATACATGTGTAGATGTAAGGTGACTGATGGAAGGAGAGGATGCGTCAGGCCTGAGCATGTATTTTACTGCCTTCCACAGAACACAGTGCACGCATACATAGTGCTTTCTCATTTTTCCTAATATTTATAGTGTTTTAAGTTAAGCCTTGGTGGCACAACATTGGCAACATGTTGTCACCTTTGGTGCTACACTTTGTTTGGATTACTAAGAAGATGGGACTGGAATTGAGACAGAAACTGCTACTAGGGATCAGTCTATCCGAATAAGCTATGGGGACACTTTTGTAAACGACTCTAACTTTATGTAAGTTTTATGTAAAAACTGCGGAACGACAATAGAAATGCAAAAAACTGTAAACGCAACAAAACTAAAATGTGCACAGTGTTGATTGTACATGTTTATATGTATGCCTTCAATCGGTGTTGACATTTTTTTTTTATCTCATATTGCTTTTAATGCGAGGTGTTTTGTAAAAGGGTGTTTATATTTTTGTTAGTTTTGGCTTTTAATGGCTCTGCTGTGTTTTAAGCCTCCTCTTTGGCCTTAGTCGACCACAAAGGCCTTATCTCAGGTGTGGTCTGGGTCCTGGGGGGGAGACTTGGGGGATGACCTGTAAAGCTAGTACCACCTAATTTACGTCATCATGATTTAAGGTGGATATACACTGAAAAAAGTGGTGCACTGAATTTGCTTAATTCAAACGAGTATATGATGTGTATATCATTATTCATGAATAAAATATATTCCATCAAATATTGCCAAAAGTAAGTCAACTGAACAACAAAACAGTGTTGATATATTTTATTCATGTGAAACAATGTCCACATTTGAATCATGTAAATTCAGTGCATTACTCAGTGTAATGTAAGTCACATATGGTGCAGCCTGTATTTGCAGCTGTTGTGTGATGAGTTTTGGGTGATGGCGCTCATCAGTGATACTAGATGAGAATGAGCTTGCTTGACATTTTGTAAGCATATTGGAGCCTTTTGCCCGAGAGCTGAGCATCTTCTCTTTCTGTTTAATTTTTTTTAAAGTTTCAGTGACACAAAATCTGCCTCAGAACCCTGAACACCTGTTACTGGATTCCTCACATATCATCGTACTACCATAGCCTGTCACTGGGTAAGCAAAGTCAATGCTGCACTAACCAGTCCAACCCCCCTTTCATACAAACATGAGTATGACCATCCTAATGTTGCTGTAACTTTCAATTATGGTTACATTTGATATTACATTGTGAGAATTATGTACTGTACTAGCCAAATATTACACAACAGCACTTATCTGGGTTTGTTCATGTTTGTTTGTAAGGTTGGGTCAGAAGTACAGGCCTGTTGAGGTGGTTGCAGGCAAAACAGTGGTAGTACTGAGGCCACGAGTAGAGTTGTTATTATTCTAAGCACTTCTAATCATGTGTTGGGGGAATATTTGCTTCCTTATGTGTCACACATATGTTCTCTGTCTGATCAAAGGGCACAGTTTATGTACATACATCACGGCATTCCTTCCATTCATAGACTAAACTTTATAAATGCTTGTTGATACACAGGTGTTTTAAGCCACATCCTATGAATGTATGTAAATAAAAGGGACATGTGCATAGCTTCATCCGTACCTGAATGATTCTAAAGGAGAGTGAGAGAGAGAGAAAAGGCAATCAAAATAAAAAAGAAAACGTCTGTGGTTGTGAAGATTTCTAGTGTAATCCTTAATGTGTATATAGTAATGTTTCAGTACACATAAATATATATATTTTTCCCTTGTACACAAAATCCATTTACAAATAAAACATGCAAATGTAGGTAAATGTCTTTGCTTGATGATTTTGGTCTGTAATGGAAAGATTATAAATACAGAGAACCACACAAGTAACTGTAAGATGCTTAATGCTACATTGATCTCATTAGTACCAGTAGACTAATGTCTGTACCTTTGAGATCTATAAAGCTTCCATCTTGAATACAATATAAACATTTCAAATTGGAAGTTTACATGTTTTTTTTTTCAGTCACACTGAGCACACTGAAACACCGCTAGTATGATGCTAGCGTGCTAACACAAGCATTCATGATGTGTTTGTACTTGGAGGGGTGGGTTACTCAAATTTTTTCCTCAATTAATCATAGCCAGTTTCCACCCCCTACCATATGATTCAACCGAGCTGAGTGATGGCTAGTTCATGCTTCCTCCAAGACACGTGAAGCAACACTGCATTTTTTCAAACCGCTGCTAATGCAACATTGTTGGACAGCTTAGCGCACTTAAAGGGAAACACTAACCGCTAAATCTGTTACCTCAGCTCACAGACACCTGTTTTGGCTAGCATTGCACTGTGTTATGGCTGGAGGAGGGAGGGCAAGGGCCGCCCTACCCACTCAGCACAGTTATGGGTGGCTGTGGCATCACCAATAATTGGAACTCGCAATAGGACCAATGCTTAGATGATCATACCACTTGGGTGCCCCAAATGTTCCACTTTTTGGTTGTACAGAACCAACTCTTTAGATACTCCCAGAAAGAAAATCAAGAAGGGTTCAGTTTGGAGACAGAGGTGGTCTATAGTATGTATCTAAAGAGTCTATCCTTTCCTTCACTGTTGAATGAAGAAGGAAAGTTTCTAAACTTTTTCCAACAAGATGGTTCACCATCACAGTGGTGCTGTCCATGACTTCCTGGGCAGTGGATTGGCTGGCATTGACCAACTGAAGGGCCAACTCAGCCTCCAGATTGCACTCCTCTTGATTTTAGTCTTCTATATGCAATTAGAGACCATATGTTTTGCAACCAAAATCCAGGATGTTTGACTGTCTGAGGGAAGACATTATGGATGCTTGTGCTAGCAAGAGGTGCTTCCACTTACAAAATACAAATAACTTACTGCTGGTCTCAGATTCAGAAAAAAAATGCTTCTTTAGTTTATCACCATGTCATCAAAGCACGTTTGTGTATGGAACCAATGGCGACTTCATTAGAATATGGGTATAAAGTTTGACCGTTCAGTAGATTTTTGAAGATTTTTCTCTGTGCCGCTGTTATAAACATATATAAACATGCTTGCTGATCTGATAAATTGACAGTATTGAATGGAATTATGGTGCAACCATACAACCATAATCATTTTACCAGAATACCAATTTATAGAGAACGTACTGCTCTCATTACCAAACAGTGAGCTACTAAGACTAATTAGCTGCCAATCCACCGTTTTTTTGGCTAGACATTGGAAAAAAAAACATTGAACATCTACTATCTATTTATTTGAATTTATTCATACTGATGTGTTTCGAATGAATATCTTCTGTCGACTTGAATTAACACAGCTTCAGCTTCTTCTCAGCTGAATACTTGCTGGTGGTCATCTGCTATGCTTGGACAGCATTTGCAAAATTGACAGTTATTAGAGGAAAATAACTACGTTTTGCCAACCAGGTTCATGACAATGAGTAGGAGGCAAGTCCTGTGGGTTTCAGAAAGTTGCGTACAAGCTCAACCAGAACTAGTCTTGCTAATATTTTTCAGAAAGAGAGTCATTAGAAGACGGATTCAGGTGACAAGAGCCATCTTTGGTAAACATTGGTAAACAGGCAGTGCCTGCCCATTAAAATGTAAACATATGGGCAACAACTCAGATTTATGACATCTTGAATTTTAGGTGATCTTTCATTTTGTTGCTATGCATTTCAAATGCTCTGCTCTCCCCACATGACATGCAGTGCTGGCTGGGGGTGTAATTATGCTCATGCTCAAAATCGCTTAGTCACTGACCATAAGGACACAGTCAGAGTGTTATGCTGATTAGGAAGAGCTGGTTTAAAGTTGAATGTGCACATTGGCACGTCTTCACAGAACTGCCTCATGTTGTTCAGGGATTTGAGTTCATGTGCATAAGGGATGGGAAAACATGTTGTTTGTGTAATTAAAAGACTGAATGTTTTGGTTCAGTAGAAACAGCAATACTTAATCTCGAACATGTGGGCGCTACTGTTCTGTCACACAGCTCGCTTGTACCAATTAGGGATGAAGGAAGTGTGAGGTTCTACCTGCACAGCTATCTCCTATTCTGAAGTAAGACTTTTTGTAACTGGTTCAACCCTTGGATCCTTTTAGAGTTGGGAATTGATTGGTTAATTTCTTCTTAAATGAGATCACAATGTCTCATATATAACCCAGGTTCTCACCACTATAACTGTGGGATTTTAATGTCAGTGAATATCAAGTCTCTCTCAGACACTTGTGCATGTTGATGGAACTTGCACATGGCATGCTGGCAGATCATCTTTCAAACAGCTATGTGGCCTGATATGTACAGAGACACATCAGGACTTTAGCAAACCATGATTTACCCATGAAAAGAAAAGCTTGCAGCCCAACTGTTCAATGCTGTGCCAGATCCAAGACACCTGATATGACTCAATTGTTAATTGCAATGTGTTGTAGATATGTTTGAGGAGGAAAATCACTAAACTTGGCTGGACACTGGCTGTCCAGAAAGAGAATTGAATACCTCTACTCGACCATAACTGAGTTAAGGCCAGAGCACACTGGACACATCCACTGTGTTTAATGAAGATAAAGCAATAGTTGGAGTTGAGATTTGAAGTTTACACAGGAAAGCAGTCAGTCTAAAGTCTCTGAATTAAACAGACAATAGGCAAGGTGAGGGTTAAGATTAGGTTTTGTGTTGAGATCAAGGTTAGGTTTGGGATTAGGGCCAGGGTGAAAGTTAAGGTTAGGGTAAGGTTAGGTTTTGCTTACTAGAAGTACCATATAAACTTCATGTAACATATCAACAACACATCTACTTAATGTAAGTAATGTAGCAACAGTACAGATTTAAGGTATATTAAGCACCATGACTTATAACTGTTGGGATTCACACTCCAGAAGTTACATGGTTGTTTTGCAACATTGAGACAGTTAGTATACAGTATTTAAAATGTATTAGTTTGAATCTTGAATTTTGGTGCAAATCATTGGGGGATAGTGTGGCAAATCTTTGAAATTATGTTTTTGGCTGTTTAGCTTTTAGTTGCTCTTAAATTGTTGAAGTATACCTAACATCTGTAGCTATAAAATGCTAACTGACAATGCTGTTATGTTAGCTAACAGATGCCGGCATTGGCTGGCATCATGCTGAGTGATGGGATGGAGAGGGAGGACCATCTTGTCCACCCAGAGAAAGCAAGCCCAGTTGTGCTCTCTTGGACTCCTGGTCACAGACGGCTGTTGCAAAAGTTAGATAACTTTATAATTCACAGCATCGATTACAGAACTTGTTAGTCTGATTAGCTACAGATACAGTTGTGTTGTGACACTCTGTTATGAAGTTCATCAATTGTGCCCTCAATGTTTTATAAATAATTTATAAAATTGGATAAACCTGAAATGAAGTGTTTCCCTGCCTGCATGTTATAAATGAAATTCTCAACATACTGTACTATGATGATTTACTGAGCCATGGGATTTTTACAAATCCATACAAATGTTCAAAATATTTGTCACAATGTGAGGTTATATTTATGCATATGATTTATGTTTTTCTGGGCAAATGAGATTTTCCCAATAACAGAATAAGAATTTACTGGGCTCAGTTTCATTGTTTCAAGATCTACACAAACAGTGGGTATGTAGGTCTGTTTTGCAATGCAGAGTAATCGATACAACTTGTCCTAGTCATAAATTGTTCATCTGAACTGTTCTGCAAGCAGAATGCAGATGTATTATGTATCATTGCAGATAAGACCGTCTTGTATGCATGATAAATATGTATTATGTATCAGTGCAGATTAGAATAAGAACTTTAGTGACAGACAATGGAAAAAAACACTATTGTATTGGGCAAAAAATTGGTTCTCTATTCTGAATATGGATCAGAAAATAGACAGTATTATTCCTGTAAGTAACATTGTGTTATAATAGTGAATTACAGGCCATTAGATGTCATGACAGTATGATCACTCCAATTTTAGGCATACTTTGTTCCCCTAGTTTTACCTTTGAATCACTGTGTGTGCATTCATCCCTCCCCACCCACTATTGAGTAATCTTGAAATGGTTATAATACAAGATATTTCATGAATTTATGCTCAGGTAAAGCTGTAGTCTTAATCCATGTCCCTCTTTTTAACTTTGAGCACCTGCCCCTCTAAGGGCCTCAATAAGGCCCTGATTCACAGAGCTAATAGAATACTAGTTAAGCAACCACAACAGCTTTTATCAAAAACATCTTGGGATCGTCTGAAATCTGTAAAGGATTATGAGGACAAGATGACTGCAATTTCATGTCTGATCAGAGAACATTTCCCTCAAAGATGTGCATTTTTGGTCTGTGGATCTATTTCTGCATTTGTAAACTCTAAGACGATTTATTAGTATCAGTCAGTTGTACATGTTTTGAAACTTATTCAAGAATCTATAGAGCTAAAGTGTTAAAGATAAGCCCTGAGTGGTTCAGCTGGGAAGATGATAATCTACTAGACATGCCCAGGTCTGCACTGGTGTATGTTTTCATTCTAAATTTAACCTGGAAAAGTGTGTGAATGCAGGGGGTAACTGCATGTAGCAGCACAGATGTGTGTGTGTGTATGTATGTATATGTTTGACTTTAATTTTAGGGGCCATTACTAAGCTATAATACAGTGGCCTACGCACACTTGCACATTTATTTTTATACTCAAAGTATAACAACAATTAGCATAAAGTCAGACTCAGTAGAGTTCCACTCACTTCAATGGACTGTCCAGTCTTTTGTGGCGCTATTGAACTCTTATCTCTTGTCTCACTAGATTACGTTTATGATTA